ATAATCGTCTTACACAAAAACCACGTTATAAAGCCTTTAGGTCATGAAAAAATATAAAAAATCAAAGACTCCAAGATTATACGTTTTCAGAAACAGTGTCTGTGCTAAAATCTATTTTACTTAAACTTCTAGGATACCTAATCCAGAAAAATAAAATTTAATCCACTGGAAAGAAAAAGCGAGCTCAAGTGTGTGTATAAGTGAGTACGCCTGTGTGTGTGTGTGTGTGTATGATCTACGTGTGTATGTACATAAGTCACCTATTTTTTTTTTAAGCTTGGCTTACTGAGGAAAAATGTACATGCAGTAAAACATTCAGTTAGATGGGTTCTGACTAACACATCCGGGGTATAACCGCCCCCGGAAGGGAAGCTATGGCCTATTTCCATCACCTACCAAGTGCCCTCATGCCCTTTTGTGCTCAATCCTCTCTTCCCCTTGTCTCAGCCCAAAGCAACCAGTGACCTGATGTGGTCTCATGGTTTTGGCTTTACCCAAACATTATCAGGGTGGAATCACAGTTGCACAGAGCTCTGTGCCTTCACGTCATAGATGCTTTGCAGATTCTCACCCTTTGTCTTGAAGATGTCAGTAGTTAGCACCTTTCTGTTGCTGACCAGGATTCCACTGTGCAGGTGAACCACAACCATTTACCACTTGATGGACATCTGAGCTGTTTTCCATTTTAAGCAAGTTTGAATAAAGCCGCTACACACGTTCATATACAGGCCTTTGCGTAGACACCAACTTTCATTTCTCTTGGGTAAAGACCTCGGGGTAGAATTCCTGGGTTGTATGAGAAGCGTATGTTCAATTTTATAAGAAACTGCCAAGCTCTTTTCCAAAGCGTTATAGTTACAACCCTCTGCACTCCCACCAGCAAAGCATGATACAGTTGTAGCTATTCCACATCCTTGCAACCGGGCACTGTCACCTTTTATTGTCTTGTTTCGTGCAAATGTGAGGCATTCTAGTAGGACTGCAATGCTACCTCTGGCTGTCATGTGAACGTCCCTGATGACTAACGATGGTGAGCATCTTCTGTGCTTATTGTGACCTACAGAAAAGGGACGAAATGTCTACTCAAATCTTTTGGCCATTTTTTCAAGTGAATTTTTTGCTAAAACACCTACCTTTTTAATAGTTTATCAAAGAAGAAATGCAGGAAAGTTTGTCTATTTTGTTAGGTCACTTAGAATTTATTAGTAGACAAGAATCTAAACTGCTTCCTTGCCATCCCCACGCCCAATACCCTACCTGTGCCCCTCCAAATTGTCTATGATATGCTAAGGCAGGTAGAAAGAAAAAGACATCCCCTCTGTCCCTTAGGATGTACAAATCCCTGGAAAAGTTGCCTGTTTCCCTATTTTCACAAGTGTGTGATGAAAGCACATTGTTTCCTCAGTGTGAGCCAGGAACACGGACGAATGAGGACCACGTGCCATGGTTTGCAGAGACAATGCCAATGCATTCCCACATGGATACGTGGTTGACGCATGACAAAAAGGAAGTCCGATCCTGAGGACGGTCTGCGGGCCATTCAGTAGGGGGCAGCACTCCCCACTCTTACATCCAGGGCCCGTACACAGGACTGTAAGGGAACGTGAGAGCCTGCCGCCACCGTGTGGAGCCTGGGGCGGACTCCTCAGAAGCTAGCTCCAGCCTCTGGTCTAGGACACTGGGACAGAAATCACTACCTTGCCAAGTTACTACAAAAAACTAAATAGGATTCATGGGGCACCTGGGTGGCCCAGCCGGTTAAAGCATCCGACTTCAGCTCAGGTCATGATCTCACGGTTTCTGAGTTCGAGCCCCACATCAGGCTCTGTGCTGATAGCTTGGAGCCTGGAGCCTGCTTCGGATTCTGTGTCTCCCTCTCTTTCTGCCCCTCCCCTGCTCATGCTATCTCTTAAAAATAAATAAATGTTGGGGCGCCTGGGTGGTGCAGTCGGTTAAGCGTCCGACTTCAGCCAGGTCACGATCTCACGGTCCGTGAGTTCGAGCCTCGCGTCGGGCTCTGGGCTGATGGCTCGGAGCCTGGAGCCTGTTTCCAATTCTGTGTCTCCCTCTCTCTCTGCCCCTCCCCCGTTCATGCTCTGTCTCTCTCTGTCCCAAAAATAAATAAATAAAAATAAATAAATAAATAAATAAATAAATAAATAAATGTTAAAATTTTTAAAAAAACTACGATTCAAACACACAATAAGTGACACGTAAATGGTAACTATCACGATTATGACGTATAATTCCTGAATCAGAAACGTACCTAGACTGGCAAGATAAAGGATGCACTTCACAAAGCTCTGGGTAAAAGGTTGAACTTGAGACACGGCAGACCCACTGCACATGCAGGGTCCTGACCATCCATGAGCCGGCCAGGCATCGACAGAAAAGGTGTGGTAGCACAATTACATAAAAGGTGCCCTGGAGAGGACAGTCATGAAAGGTATTTGTGGACTTTATTCCTCACAATTCTGCCTCAGCATTTCAAACTGAGTGACGCTTCTTTTCAAACGAAGCCAATCCAATCACTCTTGGTTCTGCACTATCTCACTGCCGATGGCTTATTTCCCCACAGGCTTCCAGAACTACGCCAAACAGTGAGGGCTGTGCTTGCATATCTCAAGGATACCTACCAACCCTCCCACCAGTCCAGCTAGACACACAGCAGCCACCCCTTCGATGTCCTGTGGTCACTCATCCTGCTCGCATAGTATTCAGTCCTCCATGACCAGTGGCTGGCTGCCTTTGTGACAGATATTCAATAAACAATTTTCCATGAACCATTTCATGAAATCAACAGTTTAAGATTATCTCTTAGGGGCCCTTGGGTGGCTCAGTTGGTTAAGCATCTAACTTTGGCTCAGGTCATGATCTCATGGTTTGTGGGTCTGAGCCCCACATCAGGCTCTGTGCTGACAGCTCGGAGCCTGGAGGCTGCTTCACATCCAGTCTCCCTCTCTCTCAGCCCCTCGCCAGCTTGCATGCTCTCTCTCTCAAAAATAAATAAACACTAAAAAAAAAAGAGACTATCTCTTGGATTCAAGTGTCCTGCTATATCCTACACTCAGGTTTTAAGACCTTAAAAATTTATGACAGGAGGGGCGCATGGTGGCTCTGTCGGTTAAGCATATGACTTCGGCTCAGGTCATGATCTCACAGTCCTTGAGTTCGAGTCCCTGATCGGGCTCTGTGCTGACAGCTCAGAGCCTACCGCCTACTTCAGATTCTGTGACTCCCTCTCCCTCTGCCCTTCCCCTGCTCACACTCTCTCTCTCAAAAATAAATAAATGTTAAAAAAAAAATTTTTTTTTTTAGGGGCACCTGGGTGGCTCAGTCGGTTAAGCATCCAACTTCAGCTCGGGTCATGATCTCATGGTTTGTGGGTCTGAGCCCCGCATCAGGCTCTGTGCTGACAGCTCGGTGCCTGGAGCCTGCTTCAGATTCTGTGTCTCCCTCTCTCTCTGCCCCTCCCCTGCTCATGCTCTGTCTCTCAAAAAATAAATAAATGTTAAAAATTTTTTAATTAAAAAAAACTTTTTTTAAATAAAAAAGAAAATTTATGACAGGAGCACCTGGCTGGCTTGGTCGGTGGAGCACATGACTCTTGATCTTGGGGTTGTGAGTTTGAGCCCCACACTGGGTGTAGAAATTACTCAAAAAATATAATCTTTAAAAAAAAAATAAGAAATGAAACATTCATGACAGATGCTGAACAATCTGAATGTCCCATTTCCCAAGAAAACCTCTTTAAAGTTCTTCGAGGAAGAGTCTATAACTAATACATCTGATCTAGCAAGGCGCCACAACACAGGCTTTTTAAGTTAACAAATCTCATCCAACTCTGCTTATTCCCACTCTCTCCACCAAGAATGTCCTTCCCCAACTGCTGCCAACCCTTCTCACGCCTGCTCCCTCAGGAAGACATGGTGCCCTCCCTCCCGGCTTCCCATCAGTGTCTTCCCAATTAGCATTTTCTTATTTTTTTTAATTTTTTTAAGTTTATTTATTTATTTTGAGAGAAGGAGAGAAAGCACAAGTGTGGTAGAGGCAAAGGGGGGGAGGGAGAGAGAGAGAGAGAGAGAGAGAGAGAGAGAGAGAGAGAGAATTCCCAACAGGCTCTGAGCTGACAGCAGGGCTTGAACCCACGAACTGTGAGATCATGACCTGAGCTGAGATCAAGCATCAGAGCTTAGGGCACCTGGGCGGCTCAGTTGGTTGAGCGTCTGACTTCGGCTCAGGTCACCATCTCACGGTTTGTGGGTCTGAGCCCTGTGTCGGGCTGTGTGCTGACAGCTCGGAGCCTGGAGCCTGCATCAGATTCTGTGTCTCCCTCTCTCTCTGCCCCTCCCCACCTGCACTCCATCTCTGTCTCTCAAAAATAAGTAAATGTTAAAAAAAAAAAAAAAAAAAGAGTTGGACGCTGAACCAACTGAGCCACCCAGGCGTCCCCGAATCACCATTTTCTACCTGGTCGCATCCATTCCTGCCAGATCTGCCCTGTGTCCTCAACCCTGGTACCATTTCTAGCAGGCCAAGAGAGTGACCTGTCCCTCACGGAAGGAAGCAGATGTCCCTGGGGGTGAAGACAGAAGTAATATGCTTGAGTACATGGAAAATGTTATTAAGAGGTCTGGCTTCCTTATAAAACTGTCAGAGTGAGAACTCTTAAGAATGTCAAGCAAACGGAAAAAAAAAAAAAGTGGCAACTCTAAGTTCAAAAAAACGGAAAACCAAAGCGGAACAAAAAGGAAATGGAATCATGTTACATTAACTGGCTCAATAGTGAGCAACATTAACAAAGTCAAAACAATTAACCAAAATGTGGATCTAAACAAACATTGTGACAGAACTCTGGGGGGAAGGAAGAAAGGAGTCCAAAATGTAACTTTTTCTAAAGCCGACGCACGATGGCGCCTGACCCCACGCACACGTGGCTGAGGATCGGGGGTGTAAACACCCAAAGAAGCAGCGAGGCACGATTACACGATTACACGCACCTGTGGGAGGCGGACGTGGAGAGCGGGGCAGGGCCCTGGGGTCTGCGTTCACCTTCAACACTGCTCTGGACACATGCACGTGCCACCCCTGGACAAAGCGGAATTTCTAGTTAAGAAAAGGAAACAATCTCTAATAGAAGCATTTCAGGCAGGACAAGTGTTTTCCTAGAACTTTTAGACCACTACTCTGTTCCCCCTTGAACAGTCTCTTGGGACACTGCGAGTGCCGGTCCCCACGCCCCCAAGAGGCAGGGCGGCGAGGGCGGCGCACGTGGCCTGACACCTGGTGCCACGCCCACCGGCCACAAGCGTGGAGAAAGCTGCTGTCAGCTCTGCACCTGACCTGAGAACACCACCACGTCCCTCGAGGACGTGGCCGGGCTGGGCTGCTCAGCACCCAGACGGGTGGGTAAGCGTGAGGGTGACCGTGCACCCTGGACCTCAGTCACCCGCACGCAATCCGTCTCGCTACTCTCTCCAGCTTCAAACCACCATCCTGGCAGGCATTCCGTCTCACCACTCCCCCTAACCGCTCTGGGCGCCGCCGGAGAGCCCCCAAGTCACCAAACCCAAAGGTCAAACCCCAACCCTCATCTGGACCTTTCCTGACACTTCACAGAGCTGATCACATCCTGTCCCGGAACGTTCTCGTCCCCTCTTCCCACGGCGCCAGCGCTTCCGGTTTTCCGGACACCCGCTCGCTCGGAGCCCACCATGGCTCCCCCTGGTCCTGGGCTCAGCCCTCCTGCCGCCTCCTCCCTGTGCTCACCCACTCCGTGACCAGAGCGCCACTGCCTTTTCACTGCCACTCCCAGCTCGGATGCCTACTCACAACTGCCCCCGTGACAGCCCTCCCAGGATCCCTGCGGGCCGCAAACCCAGAGTGCCCACGAGCCAGTCCGCCTCTGCCCCTCTAAACCGAGTTCCGCCCGTGGCGGCCCAGAGCCTTGGAGCCGACTCAACTCCTCCCTCGCTTCCTCACACCCCTCATCCAATCTGTCGGCAGATCCTGCCGGTTCTACCTTCAAGATCCACCCGGGGCCCGACTGCTCCTCACCACCCCCAGTCTCCCTGCCCCGGTCCAAGCCTCCGCACCCGGTTCCCTCCACAGCCTCCGGCTCTCCTCGGCTCAGCCCCCCCACCCCACCTCCCAACACGCCGGCTTTTCAAACCTCGGTCGCATCTCCACGCTGAACAACGACTGACAGCTGCCCTCCACAGCCCACCACCAGCACTGCCTGATGCTACGGACTCTCTGTTGGATAAACGGCCACAGAACCTCAGGGTTCAATCTATGTCGATTGTTCTCAGCTGTCCTGATGCTACAAGAGCTGTCTTTATTCACAGAATGGGGGTTTGCAGAACGGGTCTGTGCTCTCTGGGCAGCCTTCCTTTCCATCTACCGCCTCCCTACACCCCATTAACCCTGAACATAACGTCCATACACACACCAGCAATTCCACTCCTCTGAAAACTTGTCCTTGCTTTCCTAGAATTCCGATCGGAAAACACCTCCAACCCAAGTTTGTGCCTCCTAACACAACACCCGACAACGAAGCAAGAACCGAAGAGAACCTGATCCATCCTACAGGGGCTCCAGGGGACCACGGCACTCAGGTAAGTCAAGGGACCCGCATCTCAGCACATCGTGAAGTTTACGCTGTGCAAAGCCAGGCTTACTCGTGCGGCCTCACCATTTGTCCAGAATTGGGGGAAACAACTATAGGAAGACTGGTTAGAAGGTAATTTTCCTGGATTTACATATTTTCAAACAGGGGGAGGAGAGCACCAAACCAGAAGCAGCAGATTACGTCCTGAGGCCCAAGGTCCAGTGAGCCATGAACTGGCTTTCGGTTCGTTGCCTCCCCATCCCCTGTCACTGCACATCACATTAAGGAGCAAAGTTTCGTGTCGTTCGTCCAAAATAGTGCCTCCCCATGAAATGGTCCCGTGCTCTACCACAACGAAATATTTTTAACAGCTAATGAACCTGATATTCTCTCTCTTATTTAAATCTAGTAGGAAAAGAGAACTTACTATGTGGCAAGCATTAAATATTCCTTCATCCAGCATTTAGTGAAAACCATGTGTGGGTTAAGCAGAAAAGATGCCAGATGAAATAACAAAATCTTTGCCCTTAAAGACTCAGAAACACAGACTCGCACCCAAATAAATATAACGCACTGTCATAGGAAGAAACACAGACTATGGAGGGGGCTCGGGGGCCAACGGCAGATGTAAGTAGCCGGGCGTGGCCCTCCCCACACTGTCCCCTAAGGGCAGCGGCACACAGAGCAAGCACCTCTCGCAGCCAAGAAGAAAGGGTAGGAAGGCCTTACTTGGAAACTGAAACTGCATGACCTCATTTCCCTCCCGAAACACCTAATCCTCACAGAGACAAAAGTGAGTCTGGAGGAGAAACGGGAACAAAGAAGGAAAGCGAACTGACCCCCAGAAGGAAATGGAAAAACAATCCAGGGCCCGGCCCTTAAACATCGAAGACAAAGATCCTGCCCAAAGTCAAGTTCAACAGAGTTATAAATCATCATGGATTCTGAATCCATGAAGTCTGCGTTCAGGAGGCTTTTACCAAAGCAACATGTCAGTAAAATAAAATGCTCGTGAGAGATTTACGACTCTTTACCACCTGTCTGTCCTCACTCAACCACTGGACCCACCAGAACATAAGACAAACGGGGACAGAATCTCAACCCTACAACTTCCCAACTAAGGAGAGAGCGCACAACAAGCACCAAGGCTACAAATGACAAACAGCCCAATTTCTGGGGCTGTTCTCCCCTCACTTCTGCAGGGGAAACACCACCAAATAAATATGAATCGCTGACACGTGTGACTGCGGAGCACATTACACATTTCTTACAGCGTGTCTGCCACAACCCCGGGAGAGAGGTCCCTTTGTCGGCGAGAGCAAGGTGCACGCAGTCAGGAAGAGTGAGCAGAGACGAGAAAGCTGGGTCTCGGTGGTTAGCCAAGAGTCGGCAGGAACCCAGAGCCCATAAGAATAAGACGCGACTAAACAGCACGTGCTCCGAAGTCAGGCCGAGTTCGAATCCCGGCCTTGCTGGTTTACTAAAGTAACCCCTGACCTGTTCCGGTTAGGCAAATGTGAAACAGGGGCGAAGGTGGCCTCACTCTCGGGGCTGTGGGGAGACCCGCTCAGTAGGTGGAGCTCAGAGTGTCTCGGCCGTCGCTACTGTCGTTACTACCACCGCTGACAGCACCGCGGCCCTGCCTGCCTCTCTCCGCACAGAACAGCACGGAACAACTTCTACTTCTTCCCTCACGTCACACACTCTGCAAAATCAACTAGCTTTTATTTGTTTCTAGTGTATGCCAAAGAAACCCTGAGACAGGTGAAAGAAAAATCAGAACAAAAAACCAAGACCCAAGCAAGAGAATTATACTCACAGTTCTGAAGGCCACGGTAACTCTATGAAGAAGTCAATCAGCGATTTAAAGAAAATCTCCTAGTTTCTCCTTCCTCTTTCCATAGTCGTCAGAGAACCTGACAAGGAGAGACAACACACATATAGAAAACCGCCCTTCTTTCACTTTTTCAAAGCTCTGCTGAGCTCACCAGCCCAGCCAGTTCCCCACACCACCCCCTAGCCCCCCCACCCCACACTGGGCGAGACCTGGCACGAGGGGTAAAAACGGCACCAGGTCCCTGTCTCCAAACCTACCTTCTAGTTAAGGAAACATATGTGAAGCAGCTGAAAATTGCTAATACATGTCGAAACCATAAATTAACAGCGTGTACGGTTAGCTGGTGAGTGCAGGGTATAACGACAGTATACACGTCCATTTCACCCCCTCCTCCTACTAAAATCGTACTTTTAAAAATGTTTTCCACAGCACGGGGAGAACTAAAAGGAGAAAAAGGCCAAACTATTGGAGGCTCTGAGCAAATCTTCTAACATGGAAGACCGAGACCCAAAAAACAGAATAAAGAAGAAACCTGGAAGAAACAGAAACTATAAAAGACGAGAAGTGTAGTAAATGCGCCAGCAGGCCCGAGGGAGCCAGATCCTCCTTCAGCAGCGGACACAGGAGAACTGAGTCCCTCTACACAGCAGGGGCCTAGAACTCGGGCCTAGCAGCACCAGCGCGGGCAGAGCAGGGGGAAGGAAGAAGGCATGGCCCCAAACGCAGAGGACTCGGGGAAGGCCGCTGAAACTGCAATCTCGACGCCAGGCACCACGTGGCTCTCCCTCTGACAGAAGACGGGGGTCATTCCCTGGAAAAAGCAGAGCGTCCGTGGACCGAAGTCACCCTGCGCAGCTGCACTAAACAGAGGTGGAGTTAATCGCGGCACACGCGCACAGTCAATGGTGAATTCTCCGGCTGCCCTACCACAGCACGCACATGCAGGCTCACACTTGGCTCCCAGATTCCCAAGTCAGAATTCCGCAAGAAAGACACTGGAGAAGATTTCTGTGGAATCTGATCAGCCCGAGAGGATAGATCTGAAGATACTACCACTGGGGACCCCTAACAAATGGCCCACTTCAGCAATATCCTGAAGTCAAAGGGCCCCACCTTTGTCCCTTGTCAGACAGGAGAGGGAAGGAAACAACCTGAAAGAAACAGAGACTACACGAACTATCAACAATCTAGGGATGAGACGACACTGCAATCAATAAACAAAAATAGGATGCTCTTTTAAAAGAACAGGAAAAGGGCCCTTGGAAATCTAAGGAATCTTTTTGAAAACAGAAATAATAAACTAAAAAAAGGTTAAGTCAAATTGAAATCGTCTCCCTAAAAAGAGAGTAAAAAGGCAGAGAGAGAGAGACAGAGAGACACAGAGAGAGAGAGAGGAGAAGCAAAGGAAGGATATAAATAATGAGAAAAAGGTATTAAGAAAATCACAACCTTTGTCCAGAAGAGCCAACTTCTGGATAATAAGACTTCCAGAAAGACAAAATAAGGAAACAAAAGGGAGGAAAACCTCAGCACAATAATGCCAAAAAGTCTTCCCAGAGCTGAATACCAGTTGCCAGAATGAAGGCACTCGCTGAATATGCAGAACAGTAGATGAAAACGGAC